GTTCAGGGTGTGGGAGTGTGGGGCAAAGGAGAGGTGAAGGGAAGGGATCGGCAGCCTGGGCTGCACACTTGGCATTTGTTTGAAGTACGCAAACACTGCGGAAGGCAAATAACTGGTTGGGGTGGACTCATAATTCACCCCACTGTGGTGTGCTGAGATGGAAATAATAATGATTCTTACCCAAACGGCACCTACTGGGAGTCAGACACCGTTCCCAGTGCTTTCCATGCCTCCTGATGAACCACATGAAATTGACCTATAAAAATGGTAATTTCGTGTGATTCCACTTCTTAAGCCACGGTGACAACAACCCTACGGAGGTGCTTATCTCCATGTTTCTGTTTCAACGGTGATCAAACTGACGCACAGAGAATTTAAGTGAATTGCAGGAGGTTCCACAGTTAGGAAGGGGTAGCACTGGGATTTTAAACCAGGCAGTATGTTCCAAAGTCCATGCTGCCTCAGTCTGATGCCTCTGTGGAAGGACCCCCCGCTACTTGTGTGGTAGCAAGTTTTTGCTGAAACGCCATAGTGATCCAGTTATAAATGTACACGGGTTATATTTCTTTCTGAATATTCATTGTTCCTCCGAGGCCTTGGTTTAATTGAAAAGAGGATTAGAGATCTGAGTTTTGTTTCTACCTTTGCCTTGTTACATAAGCTTGGGCAAAAGTGTCAACCTTTGTGCATTTTGGCACACTCCCGCACCTTTTGGATTTTAAGAAATTTATTAAATGTGCAAGAGAAGAGCATTGCAGGGCTAAATTCTTGAATGAGTGGTGCTTTCCTACTCATCATAACCAGTGGAGTGCCTCATCAGCAGATGAACTTTATTGCTTGTATTTGTTAGGACTGCCATGTCTGTTTCACAGATCGGGTGATTGAAACTTACAGAAATTTATTTTCTTGTAGTTCTGGATGGAGGCTAAAAGTCTGAGATCAGGGTGTCAGTACGGCAATTTCCCGGAGGCCTCTCTCCTTGGCTTGCAGATGGCTTTCTCCTTCCTGTGCCTTCATATGGTCTTCCCTCTGTTCCTGTCTGTGTCCTTACCTCCTAGAAGGATACCGGTCGTATTGAATTAGGGCCCACCTATATGACCTCATTTTACCTTTATTACCTCTTTAAAGGCTCTGTCTCCAAATAAAGTCACATTCTGAGATCCTGGCGTTTAGGACTTCAACATATGAATTTGGGGAGGGGGAACATCTTGATTTTATGATCATTAAAAAAGTCATCAATTTATCTTACACATTTGTTGCAACCATATCAAATTCTGAATGGAAAGAGGGATAGGTATACATAAATAAAATGAATCTTACAGGAGTTCTAAGATGGGAGAATGAGGCTTGAGAATTAGCCAGACTTGTGAGTAACTACTTCATAAATATCCTTGTTTATGTTTGGAAAGATACAGGTGTCTCGTCAGCGATTCAGTTGGCATGTGTTTCCAACAAGGGATTGCAATCTCAATGCAGGAAATCCTCTTTGCATTCATGAGCTTGACATTTGTGTGTGACTGAGTGATGAGAGATTAAAGTCGATGGCTTATGTAGGAGTTTATGATTTTTAAAAAAGTGAATTGGTATCAGATGATAATAGTGTGATGGAGGATGCAGAGAACATTTCTGGGATGCTTGGCTGTCCATGTGGCTATCTGACTTTGGAGAGGAGCATCTGCTGGTATTTGGTCCACGGAGGCTGTGCTGGCCAGTCCTCATCTTTTGTGAGCAAGCAGTGAAACTACCTGTACCTGGGGAAGTCCCAGCTGAGAGCTGAATCATCAGTGGGACCTGTTTTGTGCCTCTTCCATGAAGGTTTATGGTATAAAATGTCATGAAGAGTCACTTGTCAAAAGTTTTTCCATAGAAATCTGAATTGTTGATAACCCGGTAACCCTTTTTAGGGTGGAATTCTATTCTTTTGTTTTGTTTTGTTTTGTTTTGTTTTTGTTTTTGTTTTTTTTACAAATAGTTTATTGTCAAATTAGTTTCCACATAACACTCAGTGCTCATCCCCACAAGTGCCCTCCTCCATGCCCATCCCACCTCCCCCCCACATCCATCAGTCCTCAGTTTTTGTCAGCATTCAAGAGTCTCTCATGGTTTGCCTCTCTCCCTTTCCCCCACCATTTCCCCCCTTCTTCTCCCCCTTGTTCCTCCGTCAAGTTCCTCCTAATCCTCCTATACGTGCAAACATATGATATTTGTCCTTCTCTGCCTGACTGATTTCCCTCAGCATAAACACCCTCAAGGTCCATCCACGTTGCTACACATGGCCAGATTTCATTGTTTCTCATTGCCATGAAGTATTCCATGGTATAAATAAACCACATCTTCTTGATCCATTCGTCCATTGATGGACACTTAGGCTCTTTCCATGTTTTGGCTATTGTTGAGAGTGCTGCTGTGAACATTGGGGTACATGTGCTCCTATGCCTCAGCATTTCTGTATCCCTTGGGTAAATTCCTAGCAGTGCTATTGCTGGGTCATAGGGGAGTTCTATTGTTAGTTTCCTTAGGAACCTCCACCCTGTTTTCCAGAGGGGCTGCACCAGTTTCCATTCCCACCAAGAGTGTAGGAGGGTGCCCATTTCTCCACATCCTTGCCAGCATCTAGAGTTCTCTGATTTGCTCATTTTAGCCACTCTGACTGGCGTGAGGTGGTATCTCAGTGTGGTTTTGATTTGTATTTCCCTGATGAGGAGGGATGCTGAGCATTGTTTCATGTGTCTGTTGGCCATCTGGATGTCCTCTTTGGAGAAGTGTCTGTTCATATCTTCTGCCCATTTCTTCACTGGGTTGTTTGTTTTTTGGGTGTGGAGTTTGGTGAGTTCCTTATAGATTCTGGACATTAACCCTTTATCTGATATGTCATTTGCAACTATCTTTTCCCATTCTGTTGGTTGCCTATTAGTTTTCTGGGTTGTTTCCTTTGCTGTGCAGAGGAATTCTATTCTTTTGAAACCTCACAAGGATTGCTGAAAAAGTTTAGGATTCCCATCATGACATTCATTGATCATTTAGGAAATATTAATCGACCACTTCTGGGTTGTCAGGCACCAGAGAAATAAAGATCTGTTTAAGCCCAGATCAAAAACAAACAAAAACCCTACTTCGATTGTCCAAGCAGGTATATAAAGTTTGTCCGTCAGGATTATCAGGGGCTTGCAGCTGTTTCTCTCACGGCAGTGGCAGCTTCCTTTGTTATGTTGTGGTCTCAGAGTAGTTGAAATCATGAGTTTTGTTTTTTGCAGACCACAAAGCCAACACTTCAGGGGAACACATTTGATCTTCCTTTATATAAGCTGTTTAATTATACTTGAAAAATGAGGTATTGTCCATTGTTTACACAATTATAAATTCAGTGCTCCCCCACACCCCCCGCCTCCCTTGGTTTATGCGATGTTCTTTCTGACTTCTGAGCTCATAGACATTTCGCCTCTGAACTTTTAAGAGGAGTTTCACTTCAGCCCTTTTTGTTTTGAAGTTTTTATGATGTCACTGGAATTTAATGTTTAGGACCTTTTGATTTTCAAAGGTCGTGGTGGTCATTTTGTTAATTTTCAGGTTGTGGCCATTACTGACTTGGATCATTTCTTCATTTCTTTAGTACACAGTCTTTGACATTTACAGAATTATGTAAGATTGCCCTTTAGAGATCAGTGGTTATGGGTGGATACTTTTGATGTGTTCAGGGATTTCTCTTTTGTCTTTTCTTCTGGTTTTGCTGTTTTCTCCAGGAAGGTGTGTGTATGTGTGTGTGTGTGTGTGTGTGTGTGTATGTGCATGTAATTCAAGTCTTTTCTTGTAAAAATTGGTATTGTCCAGCTAGTTTAAACCTTCTCTCTACAAAGAAATCTCCAGTGTTACTACTTCCATATTTCACCATTTCCTGAGCTCTCTTTTCTTTGTTGTCTTTTGTAGTTTCAGGAAGCCATTGTGTAGAAGATGCACACATACACACACACAAAATATTCCTTGGCAAGCTCCTTCGTTAAGCCCGTTAATAATTTTCTGAGGTCTCAGAGTTTTAAAAAAATATTGTTAATTTTTAAGCTCCCGTGTTTGTTATTTACTATGTCTAGCATAGTCCAAAGATTTATCTGGAAGTTATAAGCACCCATATGTCTTTGATTTTTGGACTCATCAGAGGTACACAGCTGCTCGTGGAAGTAGTCTCTGAGACTGTTTGAGATTCCTAGCTACATAGTTATGTTTCACTTTTGATCATGTCTAAGTATATACTTTCCCCTTTCTGTTTCTGTGATACCTGTAAAATCCCTGTGTTTTGACCGAATTCCCCAAATCTTGCTAATGGAGGGCGAGAGTCTCTGTCTTCCTTGGCCTCTAGTCTGAGACCATGTTTCAGTTCATAGTTAACCTTACATTAAACATCTTTTCTGAAGAGATAGTTATGCCATTTTAATTCCTGGAATCTCCAGATTTAAATGGATTGAAAGGTTCCCTATAAAGCTTGAACCCACTCTGTGGCATTTTAGCCACATGATGATTCATTTTCTGTTTAAATTCTCCACTGATGGGGACCTAGGGACTTCTTAAGGCAGTCTAAACCATTTCTGAACAACTTTTTTACTGTTAGAAAATTTCTTAAACCTGTTGAACTGAAATTTGACTCTTGGTGCTGTCTACCCTCTGGTCCTGATTATGCTCATCGGAGGGAGCCAGAATATGTGCAGTACTGCCATAGAACCGCCCTTCAGTGTCCCTTAAAAGTCTGTTAGCTTAGGGCGCCTGACTGGCTCAGCCGGAAGGGCGTGCGACTCTTGATCTTAGGGTCAGGAGTTCGAGTCACATGCAGGGTATAGAGATTACTTAAATAAATAAAAAAACTTAAAAATCTCTTAGGTTGCCTTTGATGTCTACTAGTAAAGACTTTGTAGAGAGATCCCTAAGATGCTAATCGTAATATAAATAACATATTTTGTGGTCTAGTTGTCAGCAAATAAAATGTATTTTATGTTTTTATTTCTTCATTCACAGGCAGCTGAAAAAGTTGGATGAAGATAGCTTAACTAAACAGCCAGAAGAAGTGTTTGATGTCTTAGAGAAACTTGGAGAAGGGTAAGTGTACCGAACATACAGGCAGATCAGTAGGTCCCAGTCTTTGTTCCCCAACACTGGAAGGAGCCACACCTTTCTTATGTCAATAATTCATACACCTGAGGAGGAGGAAGAGGATTGTTATGTATGGCACTGATCTGGGTGGGAGGATGGTCAGCTTACAGCTTGAAATGCCCTTTCCCACTTTCTCCCAGTAAACACTGGGACCCCTGTAGTCAGATTCAGTGATTTCTGGTCTTTCACACCCACAGCATCTATTACTTTCTCTCTTATAGGATCCATGGGTGACGTGATTTTATCTATGTAATAGCACTAACTAGTTTATACTTCAAAACTATTTGTTAATCACATTTTCATTTGCTGTTCATAGTTTCTGATCAATATGCAATAATTTGTTCCAATGAAAAATGGAATTCAGCATTTTGGTTAGTGTAGCTCTGTGAAATATAGCAAATAAATCAGGGACTGTCGCTACCTTTATAACTTCCAAGAGACTGAAAATCCCGGGTTGGGAACCAGTTGTCTTCTTAAAACCCAGATTTGTGAATGAGCTTATAAAATACTGCTGAAATGGTATTTAGCAGTGGACAGTGGCCGTCATTGACTTTCACGATGCAATAAAGGGTACAGCATAATTTTTTGTGTCTTTATGTATCTTTTTCATTGTACCCTTCTGTATTAATTCCTTTTTCTATAATGACCAGACATTGAAATGTGAGGGACAACTTTTCTTAAGTTTTGTTGTTAGTTTTTGAATAGGTAATCAATTGATAGGATTCAGAATTCAAAAGCTAAGGAGTATATACGAGCAAAATCCACATTTGACTTCTGCCTCTCAGCCACCCAGTAGCAATTAGTATAGCGGTTTTTGGTGTATCTTCCAGTGACTGTTTCTGCGTAAATAAGCAGGGGTGTGTGTGTGTGTGTGTGTGTTTGTGTGTTTGTGTGTGTGTGTGTCCAGTCTCTTGAGAGTGCTTCTAGTTTAATAGAAGACCTGAAACATTAACTTTTAAAAATGTCTGTTAAGTACTGTGTGCTTTTTGAAATCAAGTCTTCTATGTCTTATTTTGGAGTTTAGTGTTACTTATGTCTAATAAAGGTCAGCAATAATGTTAAACCTGATTGTGGATTACGTGGCATAGGTTTTCATGGATTGCCTCCTTGTAAAAAACATTAGTCATCTTTTTGTAAGTTGGAGAAATACTCTGGAATCAAACAAGACATCAAGCAGAGAAGGGAAGTAAAAGGGGACACCAGCTGTGCTGTGAAAAGACAAGTACAAGATGAATCTGAAGGCGGCAAGTTGACTTGGGATCCTTAAAGGTATGGAAAAATGACAGTCCCTCTACATCTCTTGCCTGCCCTTTTCAGCTTGGTATCCTTGCTATTTTCCTCAAGGAAATGAGTCTAAGGCCCTTAATCTAACAGTGCTGACAGGTTATGCTTTGAATAAGATAAGCATGGTAGGCATAACTGAATATGTAAGTAACTCATTTCTTTCAGTTTTTAATACAACTGTGTTACAGTCTAAGGGTATAGACTCTGAAGTTAGATCTGCGTTAAAACCTTTGCTCTACTGTTTTTCAGTCACAATAAATGAATGAGTTTGAGCAGATTACTTAATATTTTGGAGCTTCATAAACTTCAGCTATATAATGCAGATATTACTATCTCCCTTATTTGGGTTAAGTCCAGTATTACCTGAGGTGATGGGGGTAAAGTACCGAGTACAGTGCTTGTCACATGGTAAGTCCTCAATAAATGACAACTATGATTATTTTATGTCTATCAGTGAAGCATTTTTCAGACCTTACCATGTCAAATTAAAGTTAAATCTTAAACCTTCCAGTGTATTTAGGTGTTCTCGAAGGGAGCTCTGTTTGGGTTGACTAAGTTTGGGGAACGCCAAAAGAAAACTACAGACAGAGAATATATCAGGAATATAGCATAAGGGAAAACTAAGCTAATTACGATCATTTTTAATTGTCTTTTAGACCTATGCATGTCTTCATTGAGGAACTTGGAAATTTCCCTATAGAGATGTGACCAGCAAGAAAATTGACATATAGCTTCAGATCTTTCTCCCTGTGTTGTCACCATATTGTTCTTTTAAGTGATACTACAGAAGCTTGGATTTTTGTCATCATGGCGGAATGAAGCAGAACAAGCTTCCTTTACTAACGGAATCCTGAAGGAAGATCTTAGCTGCCCTTAGGTGTCAAAACACAAACTGCCATGCCGCCCTCAACTTGTTCTGGAAAATGAATAGATTGTGAACACTCACTGACTGTGTCTTGTGAGATGAGCTCTGGCTGATGGACTGTATTGGATTCTGGAGGCCATGGTCCTTTTGTGTATGGAAGAAATGCGGTGGATCTGTGGCAGAGAAGAGCCAAAGCTCCAGACCCGGATGAGTGGACCATGCTTGGAAAGTGTTTTGAATGCCAGCCTAGCACCTTTTTTCCATCTGATATACTTAAAGCTTTACACCTTGACTCACTGAGGTTTTTATCATAGGGTAGTAACAAAAACATCGTGCCCATGGTTTCATAGCTAGTGACTGGTATTGTTAAGACTTGTATCTAGTTAATTTGGCTTCAGATACTGTATTATTTCTGTGTTTTCCCAAATTGATTTTTGCCTTGTGTGGGTTGTGTGAAACCCCTACTTCCCCACCATTTTTGTTCTCTACTTGTTAAAATTCACTCCAGTTTTGTGGTAGCAACTGCGGTCTTACAGGACTGGCATAAAAGTGAGAACACCTGCTGAAGCCGTCTAAATTCTCTAAAGATTACTGAAAATACAGTACGTGGAATCATGAATCTTAGTTGTTTATATGAGCTTTCGGTGTATTCCTTGCTCTCAAGGTAGCATAGGGAGGCATAGAGAGTATTCTGGTCCAGATTGCCGAGTGAGTACGTGCACAGATCTCACTTTCCATTTCAAACAGATTCCACTAATGAATGAAAATAAAAAGTCTAAATAAAAGGGCACATGGCCAGCTATGGACCAGGGATGGAAACGGTATGTAATAGGAGGAGAGTGAAGCTTGCCCTGTCCTTGTCAGGAGATGGCAGGTGGACTTCCTACATGAGGTTGTGGGATGCATGAGGCTCCCCATCCATGAGCTGAAGCTGAAATAAATCTGCCCAAACACCACTAGAAATTACCATGTCTCTGGCCTGGGGAAAAAGTGGAAGTGATTTGACAGTAGGGGCTAGGCCAGGGCCTGCATTCAGGTATGGGATCTAGAGAGGCAACAACTGCCAACTCCTAGTGGAGGACCAAGTTTAAGTTGTACAACCCTAATGACGGGGCTGAGAGAGCCATTAAACCGTCATGGCGTCATGAACTGCTCATGGCAGTTAGCATTGTGTGGAGGAAAATCATTCGAGATAAAAGGAAACTCATGCCAGGAAATCTGCTACCATGAAATAATGAGTAGACCTAACAAATGGGAGAATTCACATCCAAGGAAATAGAAACAATGGAGCAATCTCAAAAGGGATTTAACATGTTTGTTTTCAGTTTTCAAAAAGAGAAGACTCAGAATAACATCCTTGAAAGAAGAACAGCGGGTTATGAACACGAACAGTTAGCTCCATGAAAAATTAAAGTTGGGAATCTTGACATTGAAAACTATAATGAGTTTTGGAGGTCCGTAATTTGGATAAACAGTAAACTAGACAAGCTAAGGAATTTGTGAATGGAAAGATAGCAGTGAGACTGATCCCAAATTCAGGTCAGAGAAACATGGTGTTAGAAATCCAGAGGACAACCTGGATTGAGGAAGTGCAGTATGGGTCCAGTAGGACTTCTAGGAGATAGTAGAAAAGATAAGAGAGGCAATAGATAATGCTGAGAATTTCCAGACTTGCAGAAAAATCCTTCAGATCAAAGAAGCTTATGAGGTATCAAATCAACTAGTTCTAGTAAAATGTAGAATGTTAAGGGTAAAGAGGAAATCCTGAATACAAAAGAGAAATTACCTATGAACAATGATAATCCAATGATAGCCAACTTCTCAGGAGCAAAAGAAGCTAGAAAACTGCAGAAAAGGTGCTGAGGGAAAGCCATTGTCCACAGACTCTATCCAGCACAACCAGTTCCAAAGAGGAGGTGAAATAGACATTTTCATACATATTGAACCTAGTGTATCGAGAATAACTTTGGATGAAAGTAACAGAATACCCACCTAGCAATGGCAACCGATAAGGGCATTGAATAACTGAGTAATAATAAATCTGGGGTGAAAGATTCCAGAATGGTTAATTGACTTGATAATGGGTTAGCATTTCGGTAGTTCTGGCTACATTACTTTCTAGCATCACGCCTTACATAATAGTAATCAAAGCAGGAAAGGAAGTGGCAGGTAAACATGGGCCTTCTTGGGTGTTACTCTCTGATTTATCAGGGAAGAAAGTCTCTCCCAGAATCCCTTTGGCAGAATCTCCCCCTCAAATTTCATTGGCCAGAGCTAGGTCATCTGCTTATTACTACTGCAGTCACCAGCAGAAGGAATAGGAACACTGAGTGCTTGGACCACCATGTTTTATCCCCTGGGACCAAGCCTTCACCACCCTAATGAATCAGTAGTTTAATCTTGTGAGGAAGAAGGAGCAGCAGTCAGGCTTCCACACATGGTCAGTGGTTGCCTATTTGGCAAAAAAAAAAAAAAAAAAAAATTGTGACATTTAAGAATTATTATACTCGTTCAGCAATATAAGGGATTCTGATGGAATGGAAATGTTTTATGTGTTTTGCATAGACTTTTTGTTTTTAAGTTTTATGTTACTTTCACATTGAAATGGTTGTTGAGTGTCATTTTGGCAGCTAGAGCACTCAGCAACTTTGCTATATCAGGTGGCACTGTGATGTTGATGTTTTTTCACCAAGACAGTGTGAAGAAGCAGGTGGGTTTGGGAAATAGGAAGGACATCTTACTCGTTGTGTTTTTAGTAACAGCTGTCGAGGTTTCCAGTAAAACTGTAACCCATCATACCAGGTGATGGTATGTCATTTGACCACCACAGTTGCCTTGTAGTTTGTATTGTGGTCATCTTACAGGTAGCGAAATTGAGGCATGAGAAGGTTAATATGTATGTAAATGATAGCTAATATGTAGTTAAGGGGTAGGGCTCAAGTCCCAGGTCTTTCAATTCTAAATCCCATGCTCTTTTCACCCCCGAATGGAATTGACATACAAACTTTTTACTTATTTCAATAATAATCTTATAAAGGGACATGAATAAAAGGCTGTGTATGTGCTCTGTTCATCTGATACTAGCATTTGAAGGGCCTGAGATTTTTTAATTAGTTTCCATAATGTTTTAAGCATTATTGTGACGAAGAGCGGAAAGACCTCATGGGACTGGGATGAACACAATAGCATAGGGACCTCCCATTTCTGTGTTCGAGCCCTGGGAGGTGTGGGGAAGACATAAGCTTTGTGTTCAGACACACCCGGATTCACATCCTGGCCTGACCACTTATTTTTTACCTTTGTGACAGCCAAGTCTTGTAACCTCTGAGCCTTTTTACACATTTTGCCTGTAAAATAGGAATAATGACCCCTTCTTTGGTTTTTTGTTTGTTGTGTGTGTGTGTTTGAGTGAACTGGGATGATACACAGCTTCTGACAGACATCAGGCATGGTAGCTACTATAATAGTGGTTATTTTATATGAATACTTCACATTTTAAATGTGAAGTCAACCATTCTCTTTCCTCCCCAAGTACTTTAGCTATTTCAGTTTTGCAGTCGTAAGTAAGTATATTAGTCACTGGGGATATAATTTAGAACCATGGATTGCTTGTATTTGACCACTTTTTATCTCTGGGCTTGCTGTGCCTTTATAGATGTTCTCTTTCCCCCAATTATAGGTCCTATGGCAGTGTGTACAAAGCGATTCACAAAGAGACGGGTCAGATTGTTGCGATTAAGCAAGTTCCTGTGGAATCAGACCTGCAGGAGATAATCAAAGAAATCTCTATAATGCAACAATGCGACAGGTAAAGACATGCGGTGTTACTTTGGAGAGGCCATGGGTTTTAGATGAGCTGTGATTATTTACAGTTTAACGCCCACAGACGCATTTACTTAGATACTTTGCAGAAGAGAGAGTTTAGTGGAATCTCTATGCCTGTTCTTTTCAGAAAAAAAATCTGATGAAAAAAATGTGTGTTTCAGTAGCTAAACTTTTACAGTTTCTATTTCTGCATAGATTTTTTTTTTCTTTTTCAGTAAGCTCCTTTCAAAACTAGGAAGAGGAGGCAAAGAGGCAGAAAGTGGTGCTGGCTTTTTTTTTTTTTTTCTGATAGTGATCTCTTTTACTTCCTATTGAGAAAACATTTCTGCAGAAATGGCTAAGAAGAGATCATTCAAATACTTTCAGCTCTAGAAGCCTTGGAATATCAGATCTATAGAAAGAAAATCCTTTTTTTTTTTTTTTAATGTATTGCTGTTCCTTCACATTTAAAAAAGAATTTCAAGCTCAGAGTAGTTAAGAATTGTATTTTTGAGGAACTAAGATTTGTCAGATGCTGTAAGCAGGAAGTCAGGCCTCCAGGCAACCACAGAAAAGCACGTGGTCTGCTCTGAAATTCTGTGACAACATGGGTTGTTCTCTGTGATAGAGCAGGCTTTCCCACTACTGGGTTTTTTAAAAAAAAATTTTTTTTAATGTTTGTTTAGTTTTGAGAGCGAGAGAGATACAGAGCATGAACGGGGGAGGGGCAGAGAGAGAGAAGGAGACACAGAATCCTAAGCAGGTGTCAGGATCTCAGCTGTCAGCACAGAGCCCAATGCGGGGCTCGAACTCAGAGAGTGAGATCATGACCTGAGCCGAAGTCGGACGCTTAACTGACTGAGCCACCCAGGCGCCCCTCCCTACTGCTGTTTAAATTTGAGAGAGGGACACCTGGGTGGTTCATTCATTTAAGCATCCCACTTTGGCTCAGGTCATGATCTCATGGTTCAGGAGTTCGAGCCCCACGTCAGGCTGTTAGCACAGAGCCTGCTACAGATCCTCTCTCCCCCTCTGTCTCTGCCCCTCCCCTGCTCGCTCGCTCTCTCTCAAAAATAAATACTAAAAGAAAAATAAATGTCAGAGAAACACAAACTTAGGGGCAGTGCCTGCTCTAGGGAGATGGAAGGAGAATGAGAGCATCTTGCACTGGAGGCTGCATCCGTTTTCCTGAAGCTCAGCATTGGGGCAGCTGGGGTGGCCTACGGGGAAGCTTGCCCAAGAGCCCTTAGATTTCACAGACTTGCAAATGTAGTTATTTTCTCTTCTCCCTCCCTCCCGTTCTTTTATTCTTTATACTTTTGGGATTGCTCTCGACTAGACAGAACTCTTAAATCTCTTGACTGGATTGAGTGGAGTTAGGTAGCCATTCTTTCCCTCCGCTCTGAGATACTGTACGGAAGCTCTTTCCAGTTGGCACTTTGGGACTTTGCCGCTTCTGATGGGCTACACAAGCACTGTATTTCAAACAGAGTATGCAAATATCTCTAATTAAAGAAGAGTTATTTTGAAGAGCCTATTCTGTGCTAAGCATGGTAAGGGGTACAAAGAAGTACAAGGCAGACTTCTTGTCCCCTGGGAGTTTATAGACAAATTGGACAGGCCAGGCATCCCTGTGTTTGTACGGGAGAATCTGGCCGATGACACAAGATCATAGAGGACTTATTTCAACAGTAAATAGCTGGTACTGCTTGCCTTGTAAAGGCAGTGGATCCTACAGGAATTTAAGGAGGCGAGAGCAGATGTGGTGATCGGTACCTTGAGAGACTTACTCATCCGTGTCTTCATCAAGTGTATGTGTCCTGCTGTCCTTGTCATTGGCCTGTTTCTCGGGGGTGAAGGGGCATTTGAAATTCTGAGCGTGGTGAAGCTGAGTAGGTTTTAGCATCTTTATTTAGTATGGATGCAACATTAATTAGCCCTGATAACAATGTAGCCAATAAAGCTAGTAGCTCCCAGTGGGCAGATTATTTCATTTTAATGGGATGTTTGGCTTTTCTCTGAAATTCCTCACTTGGTATCTCTCTTCAAGCCTGAAAACAAAAATTCCAGGTCTGATTCTGAAGATTTTTTTTTCTTTATAGTAGATTATAGTGTGATTTTTTTTTTTCTTATTACAAAGTACACATGACTTTTGGGAAAAATGTAAGAAGAAAAAATCATTTGTCCCTTTGGAGAAGTAATCATTATTAAATACTACTTGGTGTACATATCTCTTTCTGGAGTTTCACTGTATTTACTATTATGTAGCCTGTACCTGTACCTTTTTTTTTTTTTTTGTAAGCAGGGTACCTTCTCATGTTATCAAGTATTCGTCTGTAATATTTTCCTTGGATTTGTGGTTATTCCATTATATGGCTCTATTGTTATTCCTTTAATAAACTCCCTAATGTTAGACATTTAGATGGTATCCAAATTTTCGTTGTGACAAATAGTGCTGTGATGGTAACTATTTCTTTTTGAATAGCTGTAATTCTTTTCCTAGGGTGAACTGTAGACCTAGAAATACAGGTTAATGAACCCATACATTTTCTCACTTATGTTATTTATCATTTGGGAAATTATTATTATTTATTATTTACATTTTCATCAATAAAGAGAGTGTTTGTTTTAAGCTTAAATATGAATAATTGATCTTTGGCGCAGAGAAATTAGTTTTCACGTATTGAAGGCTGTTCCACTAATTCATATTGTCGCTCTCTTTTCAGCCCTCATGTAGTCAAATATTATGGCAGTTATTTTAAGAACACAGACTTGTGGATCGTTATGGAGTACTGTGGGGCTGGTTCTGTGTCTGATATCATTCGATTACGAAATAAAACGGTAAGTTTACCTTCTAGAACAATGCATCTGGGCTAGTTTCTGGCCTTGTGTTCGTGGGAGCTATCCTACTGCTATTTTAAGAGAGAGGACCGTCAGATTTCCCTGTTTCCATCATTTGTTCCCCCTCTGCTTTCTGATGCTTCCAAAAAGTGACAGTTTTGACATCAGCTCAGTCCACTGATGGGTAGCATCCCTTTATTTCATCCTGGGAGGGAAAACAGCGTTTATCAGATCTTGGTTAAGCAATGGATTTTATTTTATTTATTTATTTTAAATTAAAATTTTTTTTTCTTACTGTTTATCTTAAGAGAGATAGAGCAACAGAGTGTGAGCAGGGGAGGGGCAGAGAGAGAGGGACACAGAATCGCAAGGAGGCTCCAGGCTCTGAGCTGTCAGCACAGAGCCTGATGCGGGGCTTGAACACATGAACCATGAGATCATGACTTGAGCTGAAGTTGGGTGCTTACCCAACTGAGCCACCCTTTTTAAAAAAATTTTTTAATGTTTATTTATTTTTGAGAGAGAGGCAGAGCTCAAGTGGAGGAAGGGCAGAGAGAGAGGGAAACACAGAATCTGAAGCAGGCTTCAGGCTTTGAGCTGTCAGCACAGAGCCCGACGTGGGTCTCCAATTCCTGAATGTTGAGATCTTGACCTGAGCTGAAGTTGGCCAGTTAACCAACTGAGCCACCCAATGCCCTTAATATTTCTTTGTTAACGTGTGTTTACTTTTGAGAGAGAGAGAGACATAACATGAACGGGGGAGGGGCAGAGAGAGAGGGAGACATAGAATCTGAAGCAGGCCCCAGGCTCTGAGCTGTCAGCACAGAGGCTAATGTGGCGCTTGAATTTACACAGTGAAATCATGACCTGAGCAAAAGACGGACACTTAACTGACTGAACCACTCAGGCACCCCAAGCAATGGATTTTAAATGTTTAAATTAGGATTTCGTTTTCTCCTTTTACCCAGCATGTTCACAGATTAACTTCTACATGCTATTAATCAGAATAATCTCTGTGAAAGATTATTCGCTCTTACTGTGATTGCTGGGTTAAAAACTAGGAGACACGGGTTCTAATTCAGGTTCAGTTGCTCATTCAGTAAATATTTCTAAGCCCTAGGGATCCAGTAGTAAAGAACACAAGGGCCCTGCTCTTATGCTAGTATGTTTTTTTGTAGGGCAACAAAAAAGCCACCTGATGGTAACTAGAAAAGAAATCCCAGATAGTGATCATTTATTTGAAGGAATAGAGTGGTGGAGGGTTCTCGGGGAGCTACTTGAGAGTGGACAGCTGGGGACGTCCTCTCAGGGAGGTGGCACTTAAAGTAAGACTTGAGGGGTGCCTGGGGGCCTCATTTGGTTGAGCATCTGAGTCTTGATTTTGGCTCAGGTCTGGTCCCTGGGTCATAGGATCAAGTCCTGTGTCGTGCTGTGTGCCAAGTGTGGAGCCTGCTTAAGATTCTGTCTCTCTCCCTCTGCCCCTCTCCCCCACTCACACTCTCCTTCTTTCTCTTTCTCTTTCAAAATAAAATTAAAGTAAAACTTGAATGACAAGATGGAGCTAAGACTTCTAAAAGAACATTCTAGATAGGGGAATAAGCAGTGCAAAGATCATGAGGCTAGAATGGGTTTGGCACATAAAGAAGGCCACTGTGAGTGGAGGGGGAAAGGAGGGGGGACTGCGGGAGACGAGGTGAGACAGGTGAGTGGGCCTGGATTATGTTGGGATTGTCCACCACAATAATGAGTTTGACTTCTGTTCTGGGTGTCATAGGAAACCATTACTGGGCTCTCAGCAAGTAAGGAAGGAGCCTTCTGTACACATTTTAGAAGATAAACTGTGGCTTCTATGTGGACTCTGAATCCATAAAAGTAAAAGCAGGGAACATCTTAGCCTATAGTGGGATTTTTTTTTTCTTTGTTTTAATAAGAAAAACAGGAATAATACCTATATTAAATATTTGTGCAGAATTGTGAACACTAATTTAAATATGTGAAAGTACTTTATAAATCGGGAGGTGCTGTGTATATTTATTTATGTAATTTAATTTTAAATTATTTTTAAAGTTTATTTTAAGAGAGACAGTAAGCAGGGGAGCAGCAGAGAGTGAGGGAGACAGAGAATCCAAAGCAGGCTCTGCACTGTCAGCACAGAGCCCGACGTGGGGCTCGAACTCACAAACCAAAGGATCATGGCCTGAGCTAAAATCAAGTCAGCAGTTTAACCAACTGAACCACCCAGGCGGCCAAAGATGGGAATATTTTAAGACTCAGTTGTATCCTTAAAAAATTAAAAATAAAACTACCCTACAATTCGGTAATCACAGTACTGGGTATTTACCCAGAGAATATAAAATCTAATTTGAAGGAGTACATGCACCCCTGTGTTTATTGCAGCATTATTTACAATAGTCCAATCACGGAAGCAGCCCAAGTGTCTGTCATAGATGAACGGATAAAGAAAATATGTGGGTGTGTGGTTGTGTATATTCACACACACACACACACATACACACACACACGTGTATAAATATTATTCAGCCATAAAAAAATGAAATCTTGCCATTTGCCACAACATGGATGGATCTAAAGAGTATAATGCTAAGTGAAATAAGCCAGGTAGAGAAAGACAAATACCATATGGCTTCACTCATATGTGGAATTTAAGAATTTAAGAAACAAAGCAAATGAACAACAACAAAAGAGACAAACCAAAAAACAGACTCTGTGAAGAGAGGACAAACAGATGGTTATGAGAGGGGCGGTAGGTGGGGAATTAAGAGGACACTTAACCTTGATGAGCTTGGAGTAATATATGAAACTGCTGAATCACTATATTGTACACCTGAAACTACTGTAACACTATGTTAACTACATTGGAATTAAAATAATAATCATTAAAGAAATAAAAAACTCAGTTGTAACTTTTGGATTATCTGTACAAGTATACCATTTTCTTAGAGTTAGTGTGTTTTTCTGATCAAATAGCAAGTTCTTTAGCTAGGAATAATACCCTACAATGAGATATATTTAAAGAAGTCCCAAAGCTTGAATAATTTATTGAATTAAAAATTGGATTCCAAGCCTTCTTGTATGCACCATTAAGTTATTTTGCTGCAGGGAGTTTGAAAAAAATCCCAAACGAATTTGATGATGAATTTGATGTTTTAATATTAGTTTATTTTATTTATGTAAATTTTAGCTATGAAGTGCTGATCTTTAATTATTGCACATTGTTTTGCAAAATGTTTTAACTCTATCTTGTCCAGCATGTTATTCACTAGCTTCAGGTGGTCATTGAGGATTTTAAATGTGGCTAGTCTGAATTGAGAAGTGCTATAAGTATAAAATATCTGATTTTGAAGAATTATTACAAAAAGGAAGAATATAAAAAAATATACACATTTTATATATTGATTACATGTTGAAATGATATTTTGGATAAATATGGTTGAGAAATACATTATGACAGTTAATTTGGGGGCACCTGGTTGGCCCAGTTGGAGGAGCGTGTGACTCTTCATCTTGGGGTCATGAGTTCAAGCCCCACATTGGGTGTTAAAGATTACTAAAAAAAGAAATAAACTCCAAAAAAAATTAAGTTTGCTTTTTTAAAATGTGGCTATTAGAAAATTAAAAGTTATATTTGAGACTCACATTATATTTTTATTAGGCAGTGGGCCCTTAACCGATCAGCTCAGCTGGTTAGAATAAGGGGTCAGTGAACAAGTTACATGAAATCCGTTCTCTTCATGGATGAGATCTATGAAGATCCAGCCACCGGAGGTACCCAAACTCTAGTTTGCAGCCTTGCGGATAGCGTTTGCTTGGACTGCAGCGAGAGCTCTGTCATTTGATAGCTCTGCAACCTTTGGCACAAATTACTTATCTGTGCTTCAGCTTCATTATCTATAAAATGGTGATGATGGTGATAGTACCTATTTCATGTGA